AACGACAGGCAGAGAAGACGCAGGAGGAGACGGCAGAGGAACACTCTGCGCAGGAGAGGAAGGACGACGGACTACGAGGTGGGTGCCGGGGACAGCCGGCCGATGCGGACGAGGAACACGACGACCGAAACGACCAGAACGGACAGGCGAGACGGGACGCGACGCAGGCTCACGACGCTCAGTAAGACCCCCTGTCTGCTCAGCGTAAGGGGAAGGAGCACGCAGCGCTGAGCCAGGCTGTAACGGAAGACCAGTAGACGAAGGAAGACTAAGAACCTGGCGAAGCACAGAGTCAGGCGGTGGCTGAGACGACAGAGACGGTGGAGCGGAGAACAGGCGCGCCTGTGCAGTGCCACCATCACCAGCAGCTCCAGTACCCCCAGCAGCTCCAGCACCTCCAGCAGCTCCAGAACCAGCTCCACCAGCAGCAGCACCCCCAGAACCGGCACCTCCAGTCCCAGGGTCTCCAGCCTTAGTGTCTCCAGCAGCAGCTCCCCCAGACCCAGGGCCTCCAGCAGTAGCACCCTCAGGCTACGGGTCCTGCACCTCCAGCCCCAGCAGCTCCGGGACCAGCACCACTCCCAGCTCCAGTAACGTCAGCAGAAGTACCTCCAGCGGCAGAGCCCCGAGCTCCAGAAGCACGACCCTGACGGCGACCGTACCAGTCGTGCATCTGCTGTGAGGTGAGAGGCACACGCGGACGAAGGCGGCTACTCCAAGGAGACCGCGCAGCAGCAGACTCAGAACCCTCAGGCTCCTCACGCTCAGGCTCAGCGCCCCCAGACTCCGCACCCCCCGGCTCAGCACCTCCTGGGTCCTCACACGCAGGCTCCGCACCCCCAGGCTCAACACCCCCAAGCTCCGCACCCCCAGGCTCGGCACCCCCAAGCTCCGGACCCCCAGGCTCCACACCCCCAGGCCCAGCACCCCCAAAGACAGCATCACCCCCAGCAGGACCTGAGTCACCAGTGACCTCAACAGGCGCAGTCACGGGATGGTCTACCTGAGAAACACCTGAAGGAGCAGGACCTGGTGCGGGGAGGGGGTCTACCTGGGGAGGACCTGGGGCGAGAAAGAGCGGCGGGGGGGGGGGCGAGGGGCAGTGCGGTAGGGAAAGAGACGGTAAAAGGGGACGAACTCGTCAAAGGTGACGTCCTGAGATGGAAAGACACGGCGCGAGGCGGGGTCGTAAAACTGCCAGCCAGGCGCGTCAGGGACAAAGCCAAGGAAGGCGCAGGGAATGGCGCGAGCGGAGAGCTTGTCCGCGGTGGTATCGCGGACAAAGGCACGAGCACCCCAGACCCGGAAACGCGACGCATCGCCAACCTTTCCCGTCCACAGCAGTGTGGGCGAGGTCTCTGGCAAGGAGACACGGGGCCAGAGGTTGAGCTGATGCGCGGCGTACCGGACCGCAAACGGCCACAGAAAATGGGGGGCAGCCGCATGGATCATGGAGGTACGAGCGACCTCCACGACTAAGCCAATGCAGCGCTCAGCAACCCCATTCTGTTGCGGAGAGGCCGGAAGCGTGAACGTCTGACGGATGCCGTGCTCCGCACAAAAGGCTGCCAAGAGGTCGGAGGAGAACTCACCACCTCTGTCAGAGTGCAGACGCAGGACAGGAAAGTCCGAGTGGAACCGCTCGCGGAGCTGGAGACGAACAGCGCGGATCCGGGGGATCAAAACATCAGGGACCTCCCCCTTGCGCTGCAAGGGGAAGACCGTGGTGTAACGCGTGTAGTCGTCGACGACCAGCAGGAAGTACCGCTCGTGGCCCTGTCCACGGACGCGGGCTAGGCCCCACACGTCCAGGTGGAGAGTCTGCAGTGGAGCCTCTGTGGGAGGGAACGAGGAGGAGTGAGGAGCGGCGCGCTGCCGCCCCTCGACGCAAGGAATGCAGGGCGGCGCAGGCGAGGGAGGGAGGGCAGGCAGAGACCTGGGAAGGCTAGAGACCAGGAAGCGAGAGTGCATGCTACGAAGGCGAGGCAGGGAGGGGTGACCAAGGCGGTGGTGCCACAGGAGAGTGTCGTGCGACAGCCAGCGACACTCACACTGGTTAGCTACCTGAGCAGACGCGTACAGCTGGGGAGACAAAGGGGTGGAGTGCGACGCAGTGGTGAGGGTGTACAGACTGGACCCAGGCGCACGTGTGAACGTGGCCAGGTGACGGCCGGTCCTGGAGCACGTGCAGATCGCCACACGCTGTCCTCCAGGAGTAAAGGTGTCAACCCAGTGATCCTGAAGGACGGCGTTGCTCACCAAGTTCGTAGAGAACGAGGGGAGGTGGAGACCAGACAGCTCACCAGACGAGACCGCCGGACACGGAAGCAGAGTGGAAGACTGTGCAAGCACTAGGCCCCCAGAGGGGTCAGCCAGTGAGACAGGAACAGGTGCACAGAGGGGAGTGACTGTGGTGCTGTCGCAAAAGAAACAGCGAGAAGCACCAGAGTCAAGTGTGAAGGTGTGCAAGGCCTGTGCGGACGCAGTACCAGGGAGAACAGACTCACAAGCACCTAGTGCCACAGGCGCTATACCTGGGGCTATATCGGGGTCAGGCGGCACACACAAGTAGCAGTCACCCTCAGCACTAACAGTCAATGCATACATGGCAGCAAGAATAGCCTCATAGTCAAGATCAAAGATAGGTACATCACGCCTAGGCAGGTCTGCCCAGTTGGGGAACTCAGTAGCATCAGGAAACTTGACGCGCCAGGCGTTGCTAAGCCTAGCGAAGCAGTGGTACACAGTGTGAAACCCTGTGCGCTGGCGATGAGCGCGGGGACCTGTGCGAATGATATAGGGGCAGCGACCAGGACCCCCAAACGCCCCACGCCCGGCATACCAGTCAAGAAGCTGCTGGGAAGTGGGGGTCTGGCGCTGACGCTGCTGCTGCTGCTGTTGCTGCTGCTGCTGCTGTCCCTGGCCACCACCGGCCTCACCCAAGCCCCCACCACCGCCGCCACCACCACTCCCCCCTCCGCCACCACCGCCGCCGCCACCGCTACTGCCCCCGGCACCACCACCGCCCCCACCACTACCTCCACCCCCACGACCATCGCCACTACCTCCACCGCCCCCACCGCCCCCTCCACCGCCACGTCCGCCACCCCTGCCACCCTTGCCTCCCCTGAAGCTGCTGCGCTTCCCACTCGGAGCGGAAGCAGCTGCGACCTTCTCAGCACCAAGGAGGTCGACAGCAGCAGTTGCGGAGGCATAGGAGGGTGTAAGAGGGGAGGGGGAGCACCCCTCAAAGAGGGGAGTGCGGGGAGTACCACGAGCAGCACCTACAGCTAGGATGTTCTTCTCGGCTGCTAGGAGGTGCTTCTCGAGGTCGTCGACAGTGAGAGAATGGGGGTCAAGGGCGAGGAAGTGGTCCCTGACTGAGCGAAGAGTGTCAGGGAGGCGGGTGATGAGGAAGTAGAGAGTAAAGTACATCGGGGGGTGGTTCTCTGCGAGGAACTCGGCTGGGAGGGCGGCACGAAGGCGAGTGTCATTAGCGCGTAGGTGAGAGATGAGGTCCTTAGCGGTGGTAAACGAGGACAGGTCGGGGAACAGGTAGGGTAGCATAAGTCGACCGAGGGCTGCTGTGGCCGGGGAAGAGTAGCGGGCAACTACAGCGTCGTACAGTGCCTTGGCAGTCTTGTGCTGGCTAAAATGCGCGCGCTCTGTGATCGGCAGATGGTTGCGAATAGCGAGGCGCGCAGCAGCATCGCGGGTCTGCCACTGGGAGCGGTCTAGAGCAGGCTCAATGTCAGCAGGAGCAACGGCAGTGCCAGTCACGTAATCGAACAGGGAAACACCGTCCTTGGCATCAGTCAGAAGGAACAGTTGCAGGTCGTCAAGCCAGGTGGTAAACTCTACTGGGCGACCGTCAGGATCGAACGTGAGCACGTTTAGAGTCGCCATGCCTGCAGTGAAGGCAAGTCTAGTGCGCAGGCGGCAAGGAAAAAAAAGGCAGGCAAGGAGAGGCTGCGTGCAAGGCTGTAGTGGCGGCGCACGGACTGAAGTGGCGGCGCACGGACTCCTAAGGCAGCATGGAGGGCAGCAGTGGGCCGCGCGTGGGCCTTTAAAGCGGCGCGCGGTGCAGCAGCGGGCTGCACAGGCGGTTTACGCGGCGCGCGGGCCGGCGGCAGGCTGTGCGGGCGACGGACGCGGCGCGCAGGGCCTAAGCGGGCTGCGCGCGGGCGGCTTACGTGGCGCGCGGGCCGAAAACGGGCTGCTTAAGAGGCGCGCGCGGGAAAAAAAAAAAGGGCCGCGCTCGTGCAGTCTCGGCGCGCGCGGGCAGCAGGCAAGGCAGGCAAGCAGGTGAGGTAACGTGGTAATCGGTGGGCCCTAATCTTAGGTCCTAAAGACCTACTGCTCTAGATACCATCTTAGAAACTATGTAGGAATGATGTGTCATTAGGTCAAGGTTGGGGTACAAAAACTACGGTAGAGTGTCGAGTTGATTTTGTGTACCCCCTAAAGCTAGCCCCAATATAGCCTAGATAAATGACATGCATATGTTTTGACAGGAGACAGGGATTGTTGAGTCAACACTGCAGAGCGCAAACCAGACTGCGCAGAGTGCCTCGAGTTAGCTCTTTTAGACCTGACAACTCATCCTGAAGCACAATGCATCCTCTACCGTACCTATCACCCTACCTGCCAGCCTTACCAGAGCAACAAAAAACCTATCCCCTATCAAACAGGGGCAATAGCCTGCTTGCGGCATCTTTCAGCTCCTAGCTGAAACTATAACTTTGTGAAAGAATGGTCAACTCCTTGATAGAGCTTCCACCTGCAGATCCAGGGCACCTACCGCCGGCTCTAGCTGGATCATTTGCAAAGGCTGATAAGCTTCACGCTGCCCTTCCTAGCTGCTCGTCCTACGCCCTGCTTTCGAGTACATGGAATATCTGCAAACGATTATGTACAGTCAGCAACGGCTAATGGAAGCGTTAAATAAAGAAATGTAATAATCTGTAAGCTTACTACGCAACTTACCAGCCCGGGCTACATCACTGTTGCCAGTAGCCCCAGTCGCGCCGTGCATAGTCTGTATCAAACCTCCGCCGCTTGGATGCACTGCCAGCCCCTGCGCCATACCCTTCCGCCCCTCCGTAACCGTACCCGTAGCCTTGGCCGGCGGCGCCCGAAGCACCTTGAGATCCGGCCCAGTTGCCTCCCGGCGCATAGCCAGACGCACCACCCGCAGAGCCACCGCCATAACCACCACCCGCCGCGCCCTGACCGTACCCAGCGGGCCATTGGGACCGGCCGCCTGCACCATACCCGGACCCGCCCGGAGATCCGGCGTAACTTCCGCCATAACCGCCAGCAGCCCCGTACCCTCCCTCGTAAGCACCAGCGCTTCCGCCGAAGGCGCCCCACCCGTACCCTCCGCCATACCCGCCCCCGTTCATCCCACCGCCGTACTGACCGCCGTACGCTCCATAGCCGCCGCCGTACCCGCCGTACCCGCGACCGCCGCCTCCGTACCCGCCGGAGTACCGGGTGTCGCCGCGAGCCCCGTAGCCGCCGCCGCCGCCGCCTCCGCCGCCGTAACCCCCGCCGCCACCGTACCCGCCATATCCGTACCCCCCTCTTGCGCCATAGCCGCCGCGAGAGCCACCGCGATCCTTGGGCACGGCGCGCTTGACTTCGACCTTCTTCTCCTTGAGCTCGTGAAACGTCTTCTGCAGCACGCGCTCCACCGCTTCCTCCGAGTCGTACGTGATAAAGCCGAAGCCGCGCGGCCTCTGTGTGTTGTGGTCGTACATCACGACGACGTCCGTGATCGTGCCGAACTCCTCAAAGTACTGACGGAAATCGTCCTCCGTGACGGTGGATGCGAGCCCGCCGACAAAAATCTTCTTTGTGGACTGGGATGGCTCCGACTGGGAAGGCTGAGACTGTGAAGGCTTCTCACCGTCGGCGCCGTCGGCTCCGGCTGCTGCTTGTTCTCCTGACGTGTTGCCTTGAGAGGAATCGAGTTCTTTAGGCGGATTCTGCTCGTCTCGAGGAACAGCTTTTTTAGCTTCCACCTAAGAACCAAAGATGAAGGAAATAAATAAGTCACCAGCTTAAGTCTCACAGCTAAACGGCACTAAAAAGCTGCTGAAATAGCTGCATTGAGAAAACATAGGGAGGCAATTAAAGTCGCCACGGCAAGTATTTATAACGAACTACCGAAAATGCGAGAGACATTCTGCCTAATCTAAGGCGGACCTGTCTGCCATCGATAGTGTGCTTCTCATTAAGCACGCGATCCGCCACTTCAGGGTCAGTAAATACGACGAAACCAAAACCGCGAGATTTGCCCGTCATCCGATCCTTCATGATCACCGCCTCTTTGACCTCTCCGTACGTCTGGAAGTACTCGTTCAGCCTATCCTCCGTCGTGTCCCATGAGATACCTCCAATAAAAAGCTTTCCTGGGTCTGAGTCCATGCCTGGCAAACAGAGAGATGGAGGAAACCCTAACACCACTCTAGAAGTGGTAGGGCGAGACTCCTAAAACTACGAGGGATTGCGATTGTACTTGCGAAACAGGATTGTGAGATTCAAAAATGAAACCAACTTGGAGATGGTCTGGGTGCGGGGGAAGGAGGATCAAGAAGGGCGAGGCGAGGGTTACCGCACCTCGTTTGTCAGGGCGGATAGGCTTGGACGGTCCAGGTTCGACACGGGACTTGACCCATGGTGGCGGTGACGAATTTAGACTGCGGGTTTTACAAACTGGAAAACTACCAAAATGCCCTACGTATGTCTAAAATGAGGGTCGACAACGCAGCAAGCACCTCGGTACGGGATAAACGAGGCTAGGAAGTTTGCGGGGGCGATTCGGAGTTACGTCGGGAACCGTAGGTCGAACCAGCTGACGCGAACTCCTCGGAGCAGGCTGTAATAAACCTACAGCAAGAAATCGTAACAAACACAAATAAATGAACCAGATTCTTTAGGTTTTTGGGTTGCGTAATGTAAGGATTTTTATCGACATTCCTTACCGCGACCAGCAACATCGCTTACAGCAGCAGCCATTGTTCGTCCGTTACTGCTAACGGGGCTTCGCCAACTTTGCGCGCACTGTTTCACCAAACCATACACCGCTGGCCTAACCAAGTCGGCCTACGTTTCGGGGCTAGCCCGAACCTTGATGCCAGCCTAGCACTAGCTAGCTCACACGCACCGCGTAACCGTTGCATGTTGTCGCACATAAGTATTCGCTCATGCCTTCGCTCATACTTTGTATCTTTTGCCCACATAGAGCAATCCTCGCTATCTCGTTACATTGCACCCGTAACACTTGGTATTCACAGCCACCTTCTTTCCGGACCGTGCATCTCCGCACCCAGAGAAAACAACTTTTGATTTTTGCTCGAAGGGACTCACGCCCCTTAGCACCTAGAAGCTGCTATCCTCTCGTTCTCTCGTAAACGCGTGCAGACACGATTGCGCCAAGAACTAAGCTGAGCCGACACCCTTCGGCATGACCGACTGAGCATATCGACGTCACGAGTCTCATGCAGCTGCACGAAAATTCCGAAGAAATCGCGGCATTAATGGCAGAACGAACGTCCTTGCAAAACGACGTCGCACGAGCACAACAAACACAGTCACAGACACGAGGCACGCACGGACAACCCGCACGACAGGCATCATAACATGGAAGTGTGTGGCAACCCTCGAGCGCGGCCAGTGATGGCGTCGACCGCAACGACGGAGACGACGACCACGGCGCAACACACCCTAGAGCGACGAATGCGGCCAGAAGCCAACCTCGCATCACTGTTTCGGTGCCGACCGGCGAGTCAGCACTGCCGTCGCCGATACCACTGAAGCTGCAGCGTCCGCCTTGCTTTGACCCGAGTCAACGGGGTGGTCCTACCGTTCAAGCGTAGCTGTTTACGACGAATGTCTTCTTCGACGCCAACTACGTCTCGAAGGACTCGGCAAAGATTCATTACGCCGTGTCGCTGCTGCGAGGACCCGCCATCGATTAGTGGCGCGTCATCGTCACAAAGCCGACGAACTATCAGACTCTACCGGCACGGGAAGGACAAACCGGACCCTGGGCGCCGTCGTATTTCATGGAAGATCCCCAGTATCGCACGTGTGATGCGTGGTGCGCAGGTCTGCGCGCGAGACTTGAGCCAATTGCAGCTTCGATCGCGGCGCGTCAGATTGTGCGAGCAGGTGCAATACATGCACGAGAGAGAGCGTATCGACCGCTACATCGGCGGCCTGAAGCATGAAATCGCTCAGAAGATCCAGCAGTGGAATGTCACCGAATTCAACTAGATTCTCGCTATGGCGGAAAAAACTCGATTTTCTTCGCCGACCGAGATCGGGGTCCTACGACAACAACAGTAGCAGGGGACATCGGCCTCGTGGGACGAACGAGCACGCCACGATACGCGCTGTCGCTACGAATGCCGCTGCCGCACCGTTCAAAGGGCGCTGCTTCGCGTGCAACAGGCCGGGACAACGCAAAAGCGGATGTCCAGAATACGCTAAGGGAAAGGGGGAAGCTGAGCAGCAGAAACAGACCAAGCAGCAGGGAAACACTGAGAATCAGTAGAAGATGGGCCCTCTACAGACAGGCCACACCGCTCGCCCGACCCAGCAGACCCTCACCGGGTGATTGTGCTGGTTCACGCAATCGATCACACCCGGCCGAATAAGAAGGGTATATCGGTAGATAGCCTCATACTACTTAGTGAGTTAATCGGGACAAACTTAGTTAAATTCTTCGTAGACGGGGGAGCGAGCCACAGCCTCATCAACACTACCATAGCACGGAAACTGAAATTGCCACTAGACAGATGTTTACCCGAGATTGATGCCAGACTGGTCGACGGCACGCCACTGGCGATACAGGAACGTGTGGACCGAGTTCGGATTTGATGTGGGGGTAATTTCACGTTTAGCCAGGAAATGCTCGCAACAATCCTCGACAAAATCGACATTTTACTCGATCGTGATTGGCTGCGACGAGACAACCCGCGAATCGACTGGACGACGAGCGACTTCACTATGGGAGTGAATGGTAACAATATCGCCTTACCTCGCTTGGGCTCGCCTGACTCTTTGTCGGTGCGTGTCAACGCGATCACGATGAAACGCGCCGTAGCGGCAAGAGCTGACGTGTATGCGGTTGATATTATGGAATCCGAGGTAGTAGACAAGGGAAGCAATTTACAGAAAATACTTGCCAACGCACCGAATGATCTGGTAGGATTACTGAAGCAGTACAGTGGGATTTGCCCGAATGACTTACCAACAGGACTGCCACCTCAGCGACCGCAGGACAATCAGACAGAACTAGAACCGAGGGCACAGCCGACAGTACAGCGACAGTTCAGACTGACCCAACCCGAACTAGACGAACGGCAGAAGCAACTTGATAAAATAGAAACGAGAATGAATGACTAAGGGAAAGTTGGGTACAAATGTAAACCCTAGAAAACTGTACCCCATATGTGCTACCCCACTATAGCCTACAGTAGCTATGTCATATAAATCTGACACACCCCCATAGGCAAAGTGGGGGAGAACAAGGGGTCACAAGACCAGTCAAGCAAAGCAAAGCAAGCTCAGGGTGGATCACAAAGTCACCACACATTCCGAGCACAAGTTCAAGGCCACAAGGCCAGTTCACATGCAGGATTACATATATATATAAGGCTAGACAAGCAAGAGCAGGTGCATATATATATACAACAGTACAAACAAGGTCAAGGGGTGAGCAAGTGAGGCAAGGTAGGCACAAGACCCAGCTGAGTACAGAAGCGCTGATGATCACAAGGCGCAAGTGCCTTGGTGAAGATATCAGCAGTGTTGGCCTGAGAGGCCACGTACGCAAGCCGCAGCTGACCACGCTGCTGTAGCTCACGAGCAAGGAAGTAGCGGAGAGCAATGTGCTTCGTTCTGTGCTCCAGTCTCTGCTCTCGACACAAGGCCACCATGGCCTTGTTGTCTACGTACAGCACTGGAGGAGAACGAGGCGGCTCTCCGAGGTCAGTCAGCAGGTAGGTGAGCCAGCGAAGCTCCTGTGCAGCCATGGCCCCGGCGTAGATCTCAGCCTCACAACTGGAGCCGAGAACAGAAGACGAGCGGGTAGCCCGCCACGAAACAGAGCCGGAACCAAGGCTGAAGGTGTAACCCTGTGACGACCGCTGCGTAGCCTGGTCGTCAGCCCAAGAAGCGTCTGCGTGCCCAGTGAGGACCACTGGACTCTGCCCTCCAAGCACAAGCCCCATGCCCGACGTACTGCACAAGTAACGCAACACCCTCTTCGCTGCAGCCATGTGCTCCGGTCTGTGTCTCCCAGGAGCAACATAGCGTGCGAGAATGCTAAGAGGGTATGCGAGGTCAGGTCGTGTGCAGGTCATCAGGTACATGAGGCAGCCAACAAGCTCTGGGTACGGGCCACTCGACTCTACGGACTCATCCGAAGGCAGAGCTGAGAGCGAGTGGCGAGTAGGCAGAGGAGTGGCCTGAGGCGAGGAGTACGTGAAGCCGAAGCGCTGAAGGACCTGCTGCACCATGTGTGACTGAGTCAGGGTAATGGTGCGGCGTGCTCTGTCCCGGGTGATCTGCAAGCCAAGGTAGCTGCGCAGTTCACCCAGGTCTGTGCACGTGTGTCTCTTCTGCAGCTCGGACTTCACGTGGGCGAGTCCAGCAGTGTCAGCTGTGGCAAAGACCAAGTCGTCGACGTACACGAGGATGTAGAACGGCGGCAAAGAAGTGTCGGTGCGCAGAAACAGCGACGGGTCGGCAGTAGAGGGAGCAAACCCAAGAGCCGCAAGTGTAGTCCTCAGTGTGTCGTGCCACTCACGCGGTGCCTGGCGGAGACCGTAGACTGGTCGCCGGAGGCTCCACTGGGTGCCAGGAGGAAAAGACCCAGTGAAGCCAGGTGGGCGACGCAGCCAGATCTCCTCGTGCAGGCTGCCCTGCAAGAAAGCAGTGCTGAAGTCAAGAGAGTGCAGCTCGTAGTCGCGGTGAGCAGCTATGTGCAGCAGTACCCGAAGAGTGGTCATCTTCGGGGTGGGAGAGAAGGTCTGAAAGTAGTCAACTCCCTGCTGCTGACTGAAGCCACGAGCCACGTAACGCGCCTTGAAGACAGGCGGAGAACCCGGCGGTCGCTTCACCCTGAAAATCCACATGCCACTGACGATGTTCGCCCCAGGCGGGGGAACCTCGTCAACGTAGGTGCCTGTGGACTTCCAGGAAGCCATCTCTGTGTCCATAGCTGCCTGCCACTGAGAGGAGTAGGGACCCTCTATCGCCTCCGCGTAAGAGCGCGGAGTCGGGATGTCAAGTGCATCCGGGTCTCCCTCAGGGGTAAGCAGTACGGACACGAGATGAGGTGAAGCAGCAGCCAAACACTGGAACTCCTCCTGCCTGTCCTCAAGAACGTCCGTGCCAAGGGCACACTCACCCCCGAC